TAGAAGAGGGCATAGGATCCTCTGGAGCTGGAGTTACAGGCAGTTGTGAGCTCCCTGATGTGGATATTGAGAGCTGAACTTGGGTCCTCTGGAAGAGCAATAAATATTCTTGACTGCTGATCCATCTCTTCGTCCCTGGGAAGAATTTGGAAGAAACTGTCTGGTACCATAGACCACCATCAGGGAAGGACAGGAAGTTTTCCAAGATATTCTCATTCATATTTATTCTCTCTTAAAAAAAAAAAGTAAGAAGAAAAAGAAAAAAGAGTTTGACTTGGGAATGGAGGAAACACAGAAATTACCACCCCTGGGGGCCAACTTTGGTCTGCAACCAATTCAAAAGGACAAAGAACTCCCATTTCATCCCCACCATAAGCCTTAACCTGAGTGAGAAGCAATAGTAGTCTACTGGTAGAGGAGTGGCAAGAACCTAGAGAGGTTCTTTCTGTGGTCAGACATGCAGAGATGGCTAAACTTGGGTGGAAGGAGAATTTAGAATGTACTTTTTAAAGATTATTTTTTATGTACATGTATATGGGGGGGGTACACATGACTGCAGTGCCCACAGAGGCTAGAAGAGGGCATAGGATCCTCTGGAGCTGGAGTTACAGGCAGTTGTGAGCTCCCTGATGTGGATATTGAGAGCTGAACTTGGGTCCTCTGGAAGAGCAATAAATATTCTTGACTGCTGATCCATCTCTTCGTCCCTGGGAAGAATTTGGAAGAAACTGTCTGGTACCATAGACCCTACACTAGGCAGCAGCTTATCACTGGAGGAATTTAAAAGCTGGTGCACTAAAGTTATCTATAGAGTAACAAAGCCATACCCAACTTAAGTACTAACTACATTGACCCAAAGCCCACGCTAATGGTCTGACAAAAGAGGCATGCCCATTTCTAGATGTACGTAGTGTGACTTCAGCCTCTGCTGTCCTACTCTACAGTGTTCTGCATTCAGTCAAAAATCATGAGACACAGAAAGGCAAGAAGAAAACCACCTTTGCCAAACGCCAAGTCAGTAATTGATACAGCACGTAGATAATTCAGTTAGAACATGGAAGATTTGAACAATATTATCAATAATTTCACTTAACTGACATCTTGTAGAATATTCACCTAATAAACAATAACATTGTTTCAAGAACACTTGCATCATTCACCATGTTCCATAAGCTAGACCATGCCCTGGGCTATTACACACACACACACACACACACACACACACACACACACACACACAATGTAAGCCAGAAGAAATCATACAAACTTTGCCATCTGACCACCACAGAACTAAATTAGAAATCAATGTGCTTGGAAAATACCCAACTATTTGAAAATTCAACATAATTCTAAATAACTCCTAAATAAAAGAAATCCATAGGGCTGAGGAAATGGCTCAGTCAGTAAAGTGCTTGCCTTACAAGCAGGAGGACCTGAGTTCTATCCCCCAGCACCCACTTAAAAGTCAGGCACAGTGGTGCATGCCTGTAATGTTAGTGCTAGTGAGGCAAATTGGTGGATTTCTGGGGCTTGCTAGCCAGCCAGCCTAGCTGATAGGCAAGCTCCAAGTTCCATGAAAGATGGAAAAACAAGGTATAGTCTGGTAGAGAAAGACAGACAACATCATACTCTGGCCTCCACATGTGCACATGTTGCACACACATACGCAAAAGAAAAAGCGGAAAGCAAATTCCTAATTTCAAGCAGGGAGACATCAACCCATATCTTACAAGGAAACATTATGAACAACTCTGAACCAATAAATTAGCTAGATTAGATGAAATGGAAAGATTCCTTCAAAGGTATTATCAAAGTTTTCTCTCTCTCTCTCTCTCTCTCTCTCTCTCTCTCTCTCTCTCTCAGAAAAGGAAGGAGGGAGGGAGGGAGGAAGGAAGGAAGGAAGGAAGGAAGGAAGGAAGGAAGGAAGGAAGGAAGGAAGGAAGGAAGGAAGGGAGGGAAAGATAGAAAGAGAGAAAAGAAAAATCTGTAGTCCTGCATCTATTAGAGATTGATTTGTAGTTTAAAATTCCCTTAGTAAAATCTCCAGGCCTGCATTGTGTCTAGTGGTGAATTCTACTAAACATTTATATAAAAAACACCATTTCTGCACACCAACTATTTGAAAAAATAGAGAGCACTTCACAGCTCATTCTATAAGGCCAGCAGTACCAATTCTAAACCAGACAAAAACCTTAGAAAACTATAGATGAGTGTCTCTTGACACTCATGAACCTAGATGCCAAAATCTTCAGTAAGATTGTTAGCAAATAGAACTCAATCAAAAGAGACAGTAAATCATGATCAAGTATCACCTAGATTGGTTTGACAATTCAAAACCATTGTATTATACCATATCAACCATTCTAAAACATATGAGCATCTAATATAGATGGGAAAAACAGTTGACAGAATTCATCCCCCGCATTGTGGTTAAAACAAACATCAAAATAGGGATACCAGGGGCGTCCTCAGCCTGAGAAAGCTGCCAGCCAGCGCCTTCCTCAATTTTTTCCTAGTTGTTTCCTTCCCCTCTGCTTCAAAGAGCTTGCTCATTCCTTTTTATTAGAGTTGGCTATTTACAGGATTATAAGAAGTTCTCAGTGCAGGAATCACAACTGTATCCTTGACAGGACTGCTGTGGTATTTGCTCAATAAATCAGCCATGGAATCAAGCTCCATACCCTTCTTTCTGTTTTTGCAAAAAGCTTCTTGTGATGTGATGTGTCATACCACAAAACTTATATAAAACATATGAATTACATAAAATAGAGCTGTAGAAAATGCCCCCCCACTTAGGAAATAGAATATCACCAATACTATCTGTGAAGCCCCTGTGCATGCCCCTCCCTAGTGCCACTGTTGATTACCACTGTTACAATTTTTGTCCTGTTTTGTTGAGACAGGATCTCACTATGTAGTCCTGGTTGGCCCAGAACAAACTATGTAGGCCACATTAGCCCTAAATTTACCATGATCAACCCCAAAGAAAAGTAGCCAGCTTCTTGGCTAAAAATCAAAATGTCCTTGGGCCTCTTAGCAACATACTCTGTTCCAAAGGCCAAAAATGTCAAAAGTATTTGGGAGTTCTTATCTAATCCCTAAAAGATTTTAGGGTTACCTCTTCAGAGGGGGGAATGTTAGAGAAGCACAAAGCCCCATAAAAAATACAAATAAATAAAATAATAAAATAAAAACAAAGGGTACACGAAGTTGTTCAGGAAAAAGTGATGGGGGGATATGGGAGGAGTTGGAGGGGAGGGAGTGGGTATGAATTTGATCAAAACACCTTATATGCATGTATGAAGTTCTCAATACATTTTTAAGTTTAAAGAAATTAAATAAATAAAAATAAATTGACCATAATCCTCCTGCTTCTGCCCCCCCTCAGGTACTGGGATTACAAGGATGTGCCATGATGCTTGGCCTTATTGCGGATTTTATATTAGTGCTTTCCTTTATACTTTCACTACATATTTGTATATCTAAGCAATAAAGTTTAATTGTATCTGTTTCTTTAGAAAGAATCATACTAAATGTATTACTCTGATTTGCTGCCTTTTTTTTCTTCAACATTATATTTTGGAAATAAACCCATGTTGTGTAAAGCTAGAGTCCTTAGTTTTCTGTGTTATATTGGATTTCATTGTCCAAATAAAATGTTGCATTTCTGTATGTTACTGTTCATGAACATTTGGACCATCTATATTCGAGGCCTAGTAAGAGCAGCACTGATCTGTACATTCTAGTAAATATCTCCTGAACTATATATAGCTAGAGGCAGAACCCTGCACTGAGGGATGTGTATGTTCACAGTTAATCTGTCACGGCAAGTTTCTGTTCAAAGTCCCTACCCCCAGAGCACCTGTACTGGGGTCTGAAGGGCACTTTCCTTGCACCAGCCTCCTTGCTGCTTGGCATCATCAGAGGTCATAATTTTCACAAGTCTCCATTTTAATTTTATTTCTGATTACTAATGTGGTTGCTCATCTTCATGTGTTTACTACCATTTATGTTTCATTTTGTATGAAATGCCCATTTTTGCTTTAAACTCAGTCATCTACCGACATCTAATTATTAGATCTCTGTCTCCTCACTGATGCTAATGCTGCCTTTGTCATAAGTCAAACTTCCAAATATATGTAGAAGAACAGGTAGTTTTGTGCTCTGACCATTTGGTCTGTTTGTCCGTCCTGGCATTCTGTATTGTACCATCTGCATACGCCTTGTTGTCTGCAGGCCTTCCCCTTCCCTTCTTAGACTTAGTGACACTAATGATGCTTATTTTTTAAGATTTCAGAGGACTGGGGAGATGGTTCAGTGGGTAAAGTGTTTGTTGCATAAGCATGAAGACATGAGTTGAGATCTCCAGCACATACATAAAAGCCAGGCCCTCAGATCTGTAATCCCAGTTCTGGGGAGAGATAGGACGATCCAGGAGCTTCAGCCAGTTCCTGGTTCAATAAGGGGCCTTGTAGAGTGATGACAGAGGACACTTGATATTCACTTCTGATCTCCACACTCATACACAGAAAGCACACCCATACACAAGATTTCATATACTAACGCACTAAGTGACAGACCAGATTTTTTTCCATTTATAAATTTTAAAATTCAATTAATTATACATATGTTCCCTGTTCAAAGACAACACAAAATGTTTTCTTTGACACAATACATTTAACCTTTGACATGGGTTGTCTGCCTATCATTATCCAAAATATAGATCAATATAAAATACTTAAACACTGCCTTTTTTATTCTTCGTCTTCTTCCTGTCTTTGAGAATAGGATCAAAAAGCTCACGATTTTACAGATATACTTGTGTGTTTTTAGACAACCAAAAAGGTTTATTTGATATTCCTAAGAATTGTTCTTTCCGAGACCTCATCCACCTGTCCCCACTGGCCTTTACAGCTTAGCACGTGCCTCTCCTGCCTCGCTGGTGTGGCTTCTCAGTCTCACTGTGAACTTGTTTACATGTTTGTCAATTCTCCTTTCAGCTTCTGCCTGCGAGTTTTTGGGCATCGTGGAGCTCCTGCTTCAGTCCGGCGCTGACCCAACTCTCCAAGACCAGGACGGCTGTCTGCCAGAAGCGGTGACAGGTTGCAAAGCGATTACTTTGGTGCTGCAGCAGCACAGAGCTAGCAAGGCTTAATCGAACGACTGGAAAACCACAGTCTGTGTGATAGGATAAGACCTCAGGAATGAAAGAAACTGCAAAAATGATACTTCTTTACCACCCATCTTTGGTATGCATTAGCTAATAAAATCCATTCTGAGGAACTGAGATTTTGAAGTCTCAGCAATTCATTCTCCATGCATACATTCTGGGAGTACAGTTTTGGTGATGAACATGTATACTGTGCATAATATAATCCAATTCTGCCGAGCATGATCTGAAATTCATCACTGCTCTAGAGGGTGGGGAAAAGAGAAGATAGATCATATTTCACAATATTAAACATGGCTGGGCTTTTTAAAAAAATACAGCAGCAAAATGTGCCCATCAACACCATATTGACAATTAGGGAAGTATTGTGAAATCCCAGTGTGGTAGTGATTGAATGGTTGTGTAACATTTTGCACGGCTAATCTGTATAGGTTGCTAAAATGACTATTCTTTTACACACAGGCTTGAGAATATAAGGAAGATGGGGGGGTGCTGTTAAGAAAAAGAAAGCTAGAGAGGGAGCAGGCAGAATTTTATTACCAGAGCTACAAAGTCAGATCAACAGCCAGAGTTACTGAGAACCTAAAACCTTTAGCATTTTAGAATAACATTCGGCAATTTCACACTAGAATTGAAGCAAGGTTCTAGAGAATGCATTGATTAGGTCAGGATTCCTTAAACACAAAACAGAAGAAGAATTTCCCAAAGAACTGTTAATTAGTAGCAGTAACCTAAAAAAAAAACAAAAAAAACACAAAGCCAGCTCAGACCTGCTGCCAACTCTAGGCCTGTTTGCTTGCTCTGTGTTACTATTGAAGTTACCTCTGCATACTAGAAGAGCATGTTTTGTTAGAAACCTAAGTAAGTGTGCCACAATTTTTATTTCAAAGATAAACAGATGTACCCTAATGAACTTGACTCCCTGTGTTTTCCCATTTAAGCCTCAAGAACGTCACCTGGGGAATTCCTGGACATTCTTACTATATAAGAAAAATAGATCTTTGTAGGAAGATCAGTGAAATAAGAATAGTTGAGATATAAACATAGCCATTAAAAGATCATGTTTTTTTCTGACAAATGTGACTATTAAGATAATAAACTTACATAGTGGAACAACAAGTGTGTAAGATTTTACTTAGCTTGAGTTAACCTGTCCTTCTGAAACAAAGCCCTCCACAACAAAAATGAGGCGGATAAATGGCACTTGTTTTATGATATTTTTTCTAGCGTAGCCTTTTACATTCTGAGATGTAAAATGCAACCATTCACCAAGACTACTCAGTTCTGACAATTTTTCTTACTTATCTGTGAAAGTGCTGTGTGCTGGTACATGCTGAAATGTTAGTGTGACTCCAGTAGCACATTCTGGTCTTTGTTCTTGTCCACAATCCTAGCTGTGTTGCAACCTGCCTTCAGCATCAGCCTTTCACAGTCCACATTATTCAGATGTGCTTTAAGAAATATTATACAGGGGCTAGAGAGATGACTTAGTGGTTAAGAACACTGGCCGTTTTTGCAGAAGACCCGGGTTTGAATCCCAGTATCCACATGGCAGCTAACACCTGTCCATAACTCCAGTTCCAGGGGATCCAACAGCCTCTTCTGTCCTCTGTGGGCATTGCACGACACAGGTGCACTTACATGGAGGCAATACACACATAAACATAAAAATAAAAATAATAAATAATAATTTTTTTAAAAAAATATTGGGGTGGAGAGATGGCTCCGTGGTTAAGAACACTGGCTGTTCTTGCAGAAGACCCGGGTTCAAATCCCAGCACCCACATGGCAGCTGACAACTGTCCATAACTCCAGTTCCAGGGGATCCTACAGCCTCTTCTGTCCTCTGCGAGCATTGCATGACACAGGTGTACTAACTTACATGCAGGCATAACACTCATACACATAAAATAAGATAATAAAATATATATTTAAAAAAAGAAATATACACTGGTCACAGTAAAAGTGACCAAGATACTGAATGCAGTCTTTTTTTAAAATATTTTATTGTTTTTATTTTATGTATATGAGTGTAATGCCTACATGTGTGTAAGTGCACCAGTGTCATACAATGCCCGAGGAGGTCAGAAGAGCGTATCAGATCCCCTGGAACTGGAGTTACAGACAGTTGTTATCTGCCATGTGGTTGCTGGGAATTGAACCCAGGTCCTCTGCAAGAGCAGTCATCTCTCTGAGCCATCTCTCCAGCCCCCTGGATGTAGTCTTTAATTAATATTATTTTGTCATCATTAGGATGTTAGTAAATCAAAAATTCTTTATTAAAAAAAATTAGAGCCATGTGTGGTGGTGCATGCCTTTAATCCCAGCACTTGGGAGGCAGAGGCAGGCAGATCTCTGTGAGTTCAAGGCCAGCCTGGTCTACATAGTGAGTTCCAGGACAGCTGGGGCTACAGGGAGACCCTGTCTCAAAAAGACCAAAAAAAAAAAAAAAAGAAAAAAGAAAAAATTAGAGCTGTTGTCTGAGTAAGAACCTATCCAGGAACTCCCTTTTTTAATCTCTTTCATTTGTAAATTGAGCTTGATATTCCTTAAAAATGGTTTTTATCACTGATTTTACCACATTTAAAACTATATTGATTTTTTTTAATTTATTATTTTTATTTTATGTGTATGAATGTTATGCCTGCATGTAAGTAAGTACACCCATGTTGTGCAATACCTGCGGAGGACTGAAGATGCGGAGGACTGAAGAGTCTGTCAGATCCCCTGGGACTGGAGTTATGGACAGAAAAACTATATTGATTTTTTTGAGCAAAAAATATGACCTATCTTTTATTTTAAATTTTTTAATTTTATATCCAAAGCTACAACTAAACAACTGTCAGTGATGGTGGTGCTATAATCCAGCACTGAGGAAGCTGAAGCAGGAGGATTGCAAGTTCAAGATGAGCCTGGGTATCAGTGAAAAAAGAGGAAAAGAAAAAAAATATATTAGCTTAATATTTTCAAATCCAAGTGCATTCTAAAATAAACTTCCAAGAAAAAAAAATCACTGTTATTTTGTTCCCAATATAGCTGTCTGAAGGTGATTTTCCTGGATCTGATACAGAAGATTTCATCCATAAATGTCATGGAACGCTGGGCTGCGGTTTATTTTTATTCCCTTTAATGAATTATTATACTAGTTCATCACGCGCCAGTCAGATCCTTAGTTCGTCAGCAAAGACAGTGCAGTTCTCCAACAAAGGACAATGTCCTGTGTTTTCATGTAGTCTAATAGACCACCACCAGTAGATGCCTTAACTTTGTGTAAGTTTGATCTTGCTATGCATGATTATTTTTCCTGGACAGTGTGCAAGGCAATTAATTATTGGAGAATATTTTAGGAAGCCTTTTTCCAGGATATTCATTTCTGTTTATGAGTCAATAAGACCTTTAAAATGTTCAGCTTTTTTTCTTTTGTTCACTAGAGTTAAAATTCATTTTACCTCATCTTTGCTTTAAATGCTCTGATTTTATATTTCTAATGAATGTGAGCATTTTTTAAGTGCTTACTAGAAACTGACTGGCAGGAGAACTCAAAGGCCGGTAACTGAGCACTTCTGATTTCTAGACTCTGTGCCTACTGCCCTTCTACTCTACCTCATTCTCAGCCCCGAATGACTTTTATTGTTGTCCTGACAGTCACCACGCAGATGTGTATCTACACATAACAGACATGCTTCATTTCATTGCCTCATGTCCTTAAAGAAAAAGGCTTTGTTGCTTTTTTTCTCTCTCATTTTGTTTCCTTAAGATATTGTGATCAGAACACAACAGCTAACTTTCTGTACTTAGTAGTTATTCATGGCTGCCATTTACTCTGCTCTCTACCCACTGACCTACAAGGCCCGAATTGCCTTCATAGTAGTCTGGATGCATTCACAATAGTGTTGGTGGTGAGAGTGAGAAATAAAAAGAAAACCATGTCAACAAATGTCAAAGAGAAGGCAAAATGTCTAACTCACTTTATCTTCAGAACCCTGGAGGGGAGGGGAGAGAGGGAGGGAGGGAGAGAAATGGTGCTGGAGATTGAACCCAGGGCCTTGTGAATGCTAAGCAAGCACTCTGCCCCTAAGCTACACACCAAGCTTTGCTTGAGTCTGTCTCTGTCTTCTAGTTTGCTGCTCTTAACTATTAGGAAGTTTCGACACCTTGAAGAATTAAGCCTTTTCCCTCGGAACTGGAATGGAAGTTTGAGGGCTTTATACATCTGAAGCCCATCCAAAGATGACACAGGGGTTGTTCAGAGATTTCTTGTCACAGAATGAGAGACCTTTTGTTGCCTACCCAGTTTTCTTAGTTTTAAGTACTTCTGTCAAAGATACATGTGCTGTGCCTGTTTGAAAGAACTGGACAGGAGTTTGGTGCTGGTGGTGGTGGTGGTGGTGGTGGTGGTGGTGGTGGTTTCATGTCGTTGCTAGGAGCCAAGGCCAGGACCTTGCACTTGTTAATGCTGAACCACAGAGCAAATGGATTTGTTTGCTTATTCAAGTTTACTTTTCTTTTTAAAGCATTGGCCAAGACTCAGTGATATGCATATTAATATATGTATATACACACTGATCACTATACTGGGATATCTTTCAGGAGGCACTGGCTAAGAAGCTGGACTCAGTTTTATTTTACTTCAGATTTGTTGCAGGGCAGGAATGAGCCCAAATATTTGATTCCATGTGGCTAATGAGACTTTAACAGGGTTTGTTTTTGTTTTTGTTTTGACCTTTTAGAATATGTTCACAGGCGTTATTAACCTGCCATTCTACACAGTAGCCTTATAAAATAGTAAGGTGACTAATGGAAGGAAAAATGAAAGACAACAGGTGAATTAAATTGACCAAGATCACAGAGTTGGTAATAGAGCCACAATTAACACCACATCTACTGAATCCCACTGATTTTTGCTAAACCACAAAACGTCTTCACGTTTTCAGGCTTTTCATTCAAACCACAAATATTCCTTGAACTTATTAAATGGTGGCCACTGCTCTAGGCCAGTGACAGTCCCTCTTCCCATCAGTGTGTGTTTAGAATTAACATGTCTCAGGATTCTGCCAAAGATATCTTGAAGAGCCTCCTAGAAAATCATGAATTACCATCAGAAACTAACAAAATCT